TGATGGTGATGGTGATGTTGGTGATGTTGGTGATGGTGGTGATGGTGGTGGTGGTGATGGTGGTGATGGTGGTGATAGTGGTGATGGTGGTGGTGGTGGTTAGATGCTGTGGAGTTGGTTCTGAATCACAGTGACGCAGCATGGGGTTTCCGAGGCTGTAAATCTTTATGGGAACAGAAAGCCTCATCTTTCTCCTGTGGAACGGCTGGTGGTTTTGAACTGCTAACCTTGAGGTTAACAGCCTGACTCATAGCCAGTATATTACCAGAGCTCTAGCCCAAAGAAAACCTCAGTTACAAATCTTTATATGTACTTGCTATATTTCATATTTGGTTTACGTGCAAAGGTTGAACTGAGAAAAAAAAAAATGTCCACCACCCTATGTATTTTGCCTTAGCCTCTACTCATGCAAAGATGACCATCATTAACAATAATCAGCCAAGAAGGGCTTTGGGGAGGTGAAGTGAGCAGCAGCAGACAGGGCCCATCCAGGGGAGACTAGAACAGTGTAATTTGCAAGCATGGCCACTAGGTGGCAAAGCAACTCTATGCACAGATGTCTCCTGAGTAGAGTGACATCTGCCCAGCAGTGGGGTCTGTAGGAAATTCCAGAAAGTCTCGAGTCATGTATGGCTAGATGCCAGTGCCCCGTCTATCCTCTAAGGCAGGATCTGGATACTCACACAAGCTGTAGGTACTTGAAAGTGGACAGCTGCCCCGGGACTAGTGTGAACTGGTTCCCATCCAAATAGCTACAGGAAAGAACACAGCGGGGTTAGTGTGCTCGTCTCCACCTCTGTGCGCTGGGGCGACGCTTCCCTGCAGCTGGGGCCTTCTCATTCATCGCCTCCCCTATGTGTAGACCACACAAATGGCCAGATTCGCTAATCAGAAGAGGAAGTAGGGCGATCAGGGTGGTGTGGGGCACTTGGGTAGGTGCCACCCAAAGAACTGGTAAAAGTCAAAGAAACATGAAGCCTCTTGTGGTTTCATTCCCACCTCCCTGACCCGCCCTCTCTGGTTGCTCCTCTCCTGCCCAATGGACCCGACCTGCATGTTCCTACCCTCAGGACCACTTTCAGGCTGTTCCTAGCTACCAGGCAACCCCCTCTATCTGCCAGTACAGGGGTTCAGGCCTGTCCCATGCAAGCCCCAGACTCAAATATGTCCAAACCTGAGGTGTGTTTTCACTCCAAACCAGCTTCCCCTAACTCCATCAGCACCACTCTATGTTCCCCCAAATCAGGACTCTGAACCCCAATAGTGAATTCTCCAAATCCCCTCTTGTAGTCAATCCCCGGACAAAGGGTTCTGCTCTCCACTGGTACTTGTCACATTACCCACCTCCTGCAGCAGTCTCCTCTGTTCTCCCACTGTGACCTCCCTCTGGAGCCTACCAAATACACTGCCACCCATCGTCTCCCTGAAAACCAAGCCTCCACAACTCTCCTCAGCTCAACACCCAGTATTCAAGATGCTCTAAACCTGATCCCATCACCCCACCTATCCTTGTCTCTCCACTGGAAGTCACTAAGCAGATGACCCAGGAGTCAGGAGCTGGCACAGGACTCCCACCAGCTGCAGCCCATCTCCACCCATTCACCTCCACAAAAATCCAGCAAAACAGGGTGACCACAGCAGGGTTTTCCTCAGCCAGACCCATCGCCCTGCGTTACACAAAGTGGCTTTCCACCCCTGTGTCATTCAGACCTCTTGGCAGCCCTTGTCAATAGATTTGAGCAGCTAAGGAAACTGAGACTTAGAGAAACCAAATGATTTGCCCAGCCTCTGAACGTCAGCTTCCTCTGTCAAAGAAGATAGATTGTCCATCCTTCCTCACATTCCCAGGGGCCACATGAAGTTTCAAGGGCATTGATGCAGCACCAGAAAACTGGGCAAAGGACTGGCTGGCTGGTCACAGGAGAAGGTCAACAGTGGTCAGTGTGCTTATGAGGAAACAGGCAGCCTTGCTGGTCATGAAAGAAATGCAAATGAAAACCTCATGTGCTCTCCACAGGGAAGAAAAATTCAGCTACTGAGATCTGGGGGGGACCAGTCCCAGGACAGGGGAAGAGGTCAGGAAGTGACCTTCCATTTGGAAGCAGCTGCTGAAGAAGCCTCAACCTTCATCCCTCTGTTTGGCATATAAATTTGCATCCACACTTCACCCTCATGGAGAGCACATTGGTAAAGACGTCAACAGCACTGTGCTCAGTACAGAAGAGAGGGCAGCAGGCAGGGCCTGTTTCCACACCCACATACAGAGGGTGGGAGGGCAGAGGAAGCAGCCTTTCTGGAAGAGCCTAGAAATGTATACTCTTTGACCAGTGGTCTCACTGATGATGGTGAAGACTAACAGATGGGAATTTGCTACACAGATCAAGGACAATTCTTGTTGATGGAAATCATGTGACTAGTAAAATCCACATTTGTGAGAGCTTTAAGATAGAGGGATGCCTGGGAGATGATGCTAAGTGGAGGAAGTAACGTTATTTCTTATTTTAAAGCCGGAATTTGTTGCTTTTCTTCTTTCGAAGGAGGTGCGTATGTTTTCAATGTAAGCTGCTGATATTATGGGTTGCTGTGGTTGGGTACTATGGAGCTGATTTTGATTCATAGTGACCCCATGTGATGGGGCAGGGAGTCTCCCTGCCCCTCGCCCTTCTCTGCAGTCCCCTCAGGGTCCTCTTGGCTGTAACCTCTTGGAGCAGCTTTCCAGTTCTTTTTTCTGCAGAGACTCTAAGTGTGTTCAAACCACCAGCCTTTTGGTCAGCAGCGGAGCACAGATGCGGAGTTTAATTTAAAGGGGAAAGCATTAGCTGTGGGCTACTAGTGCCGTCAGATGTCTCTGCAGTGGGGGCTCAGGAATGGGCTCCTGGCCTGCTAATTGTTGCTCTTGGGGGCCTCCTTCTGCTGCTACTGCCAGCCCCCCCCCCCCCCCCCCGCCTTGGGAAGTGCCCCTCCAACTCCCATCCTAAGGGTCCCCCTGGGCAAGCTCTCGGGGCTGCTCACAGCTCTGTGACGTTCTTAGGGACGCCCTTAGGCAGGGCCCGGAGGTGCTTGTTACTGCATCGAACCACGGTGTCCAGGCAGGTGCACTCCTGGGGGCACTGTGGGCGGGGCAGGCAGCCCCCATCATCTTGACCTAGGGAGAAAGGCAGGATGCCAGGAGCAGTGATGGGGACAACCCTTCCTAGGGTCTCATGTAGCTAGGGCCAGTCCCTTTCGGACACCACCTGGGTCACCAGATTCTGGAAATTTCCTCTTTGCTGCACTCACCTCTGACCAGAACCAGAGCCCCCAGGACCTGTTTTGAAGTTAAAACAGATTTGGCAGAACCCAGATACACGGTTAGCTTAGGTTAGGCACAGGGGTAAGAGGGAGTCTCCCTGCCCCCCTCCCCTTTCTCTGCAGACCCCTCATTGCAGCTGCCTCCTGACCTGCTTCACCCGATTAGAGTTTCCCCTGCTCACCCTCGTCCCTGCCCCCCAAGAGGCCCATGAGTTACCTTCTTCACACCTGAAGTCTGGAAAGGCCACGTCCTGCAGGGGGATCTGCCGCAAGAAGTCTGGGTTCTGGCATCTCGGGTTCCCCGTCACAATCTTCCTTTTCCGCAGCCAGTCGCCAAGCCAAGCCAGCTGGCAGTTACAGTTGAAAGGGTTGGACAGAAGATTTCTGAAAAAGGTGGGTCATTCAACTGTGGCTGACACCCTACTGATCTCAGATGTCCCAACAAAGTCCTTTCCTGTCCACTAACGTAGGACAGGCCATGCTCAACACCCCACACTCTTCCCAGACAACCAACTGGGAAGATGGACTTTCTGGGCTCTGGAGGCAAAATTCACTGAACTCTAAAGTGGTGAGACCATTCTTCAATGAACCACGAGGACCAAGACCTCCTAAGTGAGTCCTTTAAGTTACCCACCTGAGAGGACCACCCCATCCTGTCAGGGCCACCCTGCTCAGCCACTTGATCCTGGAACTCCTTTCTGAAGAGAAGTCCAAACTGGTCTATGAACCACACAAGAAACCTTGTCTCTTTTCCAGTTTTCCCCAATGCCAAAGATGACTGTGCCCCACGGATAGCTGAACACTCCTTCAACATCATTCCAGAGAGGACAAGACAGAGGTCTCTGTGATATTCACAAACCCAAGGGCATCTGACCAACTATAGTCTTTATATGGACCCAAAACGAGATTACCCATCACCTTCCAGGGTGGTGGCTGGGCCTTACTGAACAAAGCTAATCAGCTGACGCTGCTTGACCGTCTGTGCATAGGAAAGATACGTCTGTGCATAGGAGCTGCTGGCTGCTACTCTATGAAGCTGCTACTCTATGATGCGGCGGATGAAGCAGCATCACGAATTCAGCGCTGTGCTCAGAAACTGCCTGGATTGAGATGCCACATCTGGTATCATGGATTTTCAAAAGCAGTCCTTGCATCCACTCCTGATAATTATGGCAAAAGGTCTGGGTGAAATGCTTGGGGGGGCTCAAGGCCTCGGGAAGCTCCCATCATAGCTCTTTCTGGCCCCAGTCATGACCACATCCAGGCTGCGCTGGCCATCATTAACGCCACCCAAGGTATCTCTGGTGGAGAACTAGGGAGACCCAGGAAATTACATTCACTGAGTGCACCCTGCTTTCTGACCTTCTGTGCTCTTTGCTGAAACCTGGACTCTTTAAGCTGGATGCAGCCAACTATAATTTGATAGTTCTTGGTGTTCTGAGTGTCCATCTTTGCTGACCCTCAGGTGTTGTCCTAAGTGGGACTAACTCATCATCAGATGGGAGGCCAAATAACTTTCCCCAAATCAGCTCTGCCTTCAAATGTTTATGACTTTCCAAAGGATCTGTTCCAAATGCTGCAAATAAGGAAAGACCTTCGTTGAGCATGGATAGCAACTTTCTAGGGGATGCCTTCAGAGGTGGTCTACAGTTTTGGATCTGTGCATTCCGGTGTGCTGGCTAGTCTTATCTCTTATCAGATCTAGGCATTGCTCTCCTGAGTTTTCAACTATGAAATAGACATCTCAGGAATTGACTAAATGGGAATGCAAAATGGTCCAGTTACTGTGGAAACAGTTTGGAGATTCCTCAAAAGGTTAAACACAGAGTTACCATGTTGTTAAGTGCTGTCAAGTTAGTTCTGACTCATAACAACTCTGTGTAGGGTTTCCGAAGAGCAACTGATGGATTTGAACTTCCAACCTCATGGCTTGCAACCCAGTGCTGATCATACAGCGCCACACCAGAGTCCAAAAGACCTGACAATGTTACTTCTAGGTGTATTTTCAAGAGAACCAAAAACATATGCTGACACAAAATATTGTACATGGATATTCCCATCAGAATTATTCACAATAGCCACATACACACAAAGGAACAACCCAAATACCCACGAATGGATATACAAAATGTGTACTATCAGTACAGTGGAAGGGGAGTTATAAAAATCAATGTAGCACTGATCCATGTTATACCCTGGATGAACCTGGGGAACACTGTGCTGAGTGCAAGAAGTCTGACACAAATGCACAAATCCACGAGCCTAGTTAGATGAAAAAATCTAGATAGAGAGGAGATTAGTAGTTGTCAGGGCTTGGCTGGGTTGGGGATGTGGAGTGATTACTAATGCATATGAGATGTCTTTTTGGAGTGATGGAAACAGTTGAGAATTAGATGTTTGCAAAGTTACAAATCCAGGCAGTTCTCTAAGTGTCTGGCTTACTGACAACCAGTACTTGCCCTTTACTGTTCTGTAAGCTTGCTCTCACTTCGAAACAACGGAACCAGCCCCTACTCACAACAGCTCCTGCATCAAAATCCTCTTCACTTGCTGCACACACAGTTTTTAAATCACTGAAAAGGCTTGGAACCTTTCCTGCACTAAACCAAATCTACTGCCTGATTCATAGCAAGCCAGGAGGAGAAGAAGTTCCCCCGAGGGTTTCCAAGAAAGTAAGTCTTTACAGAGGGAGACTGCCACATCTTCCTCCCAGAGAGCAACTACTGGGTTCAAATCAATGACCCTCTGGTTAGCAGGTGAGTACTTTAACCACTGCGCCAGCAGGGCTCCTTTCTTGCACTCAAGTCAACCAAGCCCACAGTCATCAGGTCCATTCTGACTCAGAGTGGCCCTGTTGTTGGTGTTAAGTACCATGCAGTCGGTTCTGACTCATAGTGACCCTGCACAGGGTTTCTGAGGCTGCAAATTTTTACAAGAGCAGAACAGCTGGTAGTTTCAAACTGCTGACCTTGAGGTTAGCAGCCTAATATGTAACCACTACGCTACCAGAGCTCCTGCAGAGGATAAAATAGAACTGTTTCTTAGGGTTTCTAAGGCTGTAAATGTTTACTGGAGCAGACAGTCTTATCTTTCTCCTATGGACTGGCTAGTGGGTTTCAACCACTGTCTTTGCCATTAGCAGCCCAAAGTACCATCAGGGCCTTCTTGCATGAAATTTAGGCTTAATAAGGACCTTGTGCACCGATTCCAACTTACACTTACAAATCTGATTTAAAGACACATTTAGGAATGGATCTTGTTCGTCACCTGGGGACTGCCTGTATACCAGAGGCCACTGAACTGCACACTTTAAAACCATCTATTTCACGGTGTATGAATTATATCTCTTTGTAGATTTTATTTTAAAAAAGAAAGAACAGATCCAGGCTCTCCAATAGCAAGAAAATGAACCAAGAACACTGTTAGCAAGAACAGAGGTGATAATGTGAACAAAGATGTTTAGCAGATAAGGTGTGGCACATAATAAGAGGTAGATTAATATTGTTGTTGTTGTGAAGTGCCATCGAGTTGGTTCTAACCCATAGCGCCCCTGAATAGGGTTTCTGAGGAGCAGTGGTGAGCTTGTACTGCTGACCTTGCAGTTCAAACGGCTTATAGTCTTGTGCACTAACCCACAGTGCCACACCAGGACTCCAGATTAATATTAGCTATTGCTAAGAGCTCTGGTAGCGTAGTGGTTACGAACTGGGCTATGAACCACAAGGTCAGCAGTTTGAAACTACCAGCTGTTCCGCGGGAGAAAGATGAGGCATTCTGTTCCTGTAAAGATTTACAGCCTCAGAAATCCTGTACAGGGTTGCTATGAGTCGGAACCGACTCCATGGCACATAACAACAACAATTGCTAAGACACCCACTGAGCCCAACTCTGAGAATGTGCTGGGGGAAGGTACCTGGTGCCCCAGCATCTAAAAGGGGTCCTTGGGAGTAGGAGAGAGCCAATGGCCTTTAGCTGAGAGTACATGAAACTGAAAATTCATAGATCATCAGATCAAACCTGAAGCCCTTGAGAAAAGGCAGAGGCGGTCCAGCAGGCCATCCCACCTGACCTCCTGGACTGACTCTCCCCAACCCCTACCTCAACCTCAGTCTGGCACAAGGAAGGGCCACCTGCCAACATTTCTGTAGGCTGCCTCCCCTGGACGAAGCCGGGCCAGGAGGATTAGGGAGAGTTGTCCTCTCTGCTGGTCTTACACAGAGAGGGGCAAGAGGATGGTGGACATTGGTGGCCAAGCCATCCCTCTGTCTGTCCTTTCCAGAGGAGCTGAATGAGTCACGAAGCTCTAAGTCAGAGCCTGGCCTCCAAGCCAGTTGTCCTCTGTCCCTCCTCCAGTCTGTCCTGATACATTCAGACAGTGGGGCTGTTTCCCAATTAGTCTCCAACTTCAGGGGCTGAAGTTCATATCCTGTCCCGCAGGGCGGATACAGTAACAGTATGTACCCATTTCCTGTTGCTGCTGTAACAACACAGATTTATCATCTTATAAATTCCAAAATGGGTCTCATTGGGCTAAAATCAAGGTGTCAGCAGGACTGTGTTCCCCCCTGGAGCACTAGTGGGGAACCCACTGTCTTGCCTTTCCCAGTTTTAAAGACTGCTCATATTCCTTGGTTTGTGGTGCTCCCCTCGGTCATCAGAGCCAGGAATGACCAGTGAGTCTTCCTCACACTGAATCACACTGTATGGTATTGGGCTCTTCAGCTTCTCTCCTACGTTTAAGGAAAGAAACCTCATTGGGGAGCCACTATGTTTCCTTCCACACAGAGTAACCAGCAACATTACGTTGATATTCCTGCTGCTACAATAATGACAATTATTACTACTACTGGACTCCTGGGGTGGCGCCATAGGATCAGCACCGAACTGCAAACCAAGGTCACCGGTTCAAACCCACCAGCTGCTCCTCGGAAACCCTATACAGAGTCGCTATGGGTCGGAACCGACTTGATGGCACTTTAACAACAACAACAACAACTATGACTGATGAATACAAACTGAGTGTTCTGTGTGCTAGTCCCCGAGCTTGGTTCTATGTACACATTAACACAATACCCCTGTGGATTAACAGTCTCTTCTCACAGGCGTAGAAATGGAAGTTCAGAAAGGTGAAAAAACTTATTTGAAAAAAATTCACAGTTAAGTACTGGGTACAAGTAAGTACACCCAGACCTGTGGCCCCAAAGCTGTGCTCCCTGCTCCACCGCACCGTCTTTTGCAGAAATGGCAAAAAGGGCCCGTTATCTGTGGTTAACCACAAATCCCAACAGGAAACTGCAATACTGAGGGCCCTTGGGCAGAAGTGCCCACTGCAACTGGGCCTTTTTGCAGAGGAAGTCTTCTAAAGATGGTATAGGGAAGCCAACTCTCAGCTTCTACAGATCCTAGACACCTCCCTGAGAAGCAAGCCCACCACCTCCAGTCCCATCATAGCTCGGAGGATGGACATGTCAGCCACAGCACCTTCCTCAGAAATGATACCTAATTCTTGTAATACGTCAACATAACAGATGTTCTTAACCCGATGTGGGCTAATGTGTTGGATCGCAAGGTTGGATTGAACCATGAGGTTGGCAGTTCAAGCTCACCAGCCATTCCTCGGAGACTATACAGGGTTGCTATGAGTTTGAACCAATTTAATGGCACTTCACAACAACAACAACATTATACAGGTGCTTTGCTGTGCCACCCAGATGACATGTGCTGGAGCTGGGGTTCAAGCCTTCTGCTCTGCCCCAACATTCAGCTGCCAGAGGAAGGGGATGAGGTTCTCAGGGCTCAGATTCCAGAGCCACAGGTGTGTCTGTCCCCAGAGAGCCAGGACTTACAGGGTGGAGAGGGATTGGAGGGTGTCGAAGGCTCCAGGGGAGATGGTGGTAATCTGGTTGTCATACAGCGAGAGGAGCCGAACGTTGCGCAGACCTGTGAAGCTGTCGTTGTGGATACAGCTGATCCGATTGTTCCTCAGCATCCTGCAGAGGAGGAAGTAGTGAGAGAGGAGAGGCTGGACCCAGGCTGTGTCCTGCTGGTGGGCCTCATCTGCTTAACTGTCTTTGGCCACCATCTGCCAGTTCACAAATGCACTCCAGGGGGCGCTGAGCCACAGGCAGGAGCAAGAGTCCAGATGGACCTCTGCTGTGTGAGAATTCTACACATTGGGCTGCCCTCTATGAGGTTGCAGCTAGAATCCACCGGTCACTACTTAGGAGAAAGATGAGGCTTTCTACTCCCGTAAACATTTATAACCTCAGAAACCCTATACTGGGTCACTAACACTTGGAACTGACTCGGCAACACTTACCAACAATGGCATCTATGTATGTATGTGTAGGAAAAGACCGGAAGGACATTGTTTATATTAATAAATTAGTTCTGAATAATGGTGGCATTAAGGGGATTTCTGTTCCTGGCCTTGCACCTTATCTGTGTGCCCTTCCTCTGTCCTCTGCCCCTAACCAAGTCCTCCCTGGAAAGGACAAAGTGACTAGTAAACAGCACACAGACCAGACCCCTCATTCAAGACTATTCTGCAGGCGTAAAGAAGAATGAGCCAGCCCTTGATGAACAGCCTGGACAAATGACCAGGCTATACGAGGGGGCTTAAAAAAGTTCATGGGCAAATTCTATGGCTTTTTAATTCCATTTTCCAAAAACTTTTTGAAGCTCCCTTGGATTCAGAAAGGGAACACAAAAAGCAAGCTCAGAACAAAGTACACAGACAACTCCCATTTTTGTAAAACAAACATCCGCAGGGAGTCCTATCATGCATCCATTTCCCTTACACAAATTCAACGCTATGTGCTCAGAAAACAAGCTCCAAGCCCTACTGCAGAGCTGGGATTGGAATCTAAGCACGTTGTTTCTAGAGCCATGTTACCCAAAAACAGTAGCCAGCGATGCCCACAGGTAGCTATTTAAATTAGTTAAATGAAAGGAAAACACAGGACCTCAATAGCACCAGTCACACATGCGGCTACCGGAAGGGACAGTCCTATTGGGTGACATGATCTATCGGACACTCTAAGCAGCTACATGATCATTTGAAGACTGGGCAGGGGGGATGCCCTGCAGCGTACTGAGTACCTGTGTCCACCTAGATTTGTCTGGATTCGGAGTTAAGGCATCACAGGATGATCCAATATCCCTGCCCCCATCTAGTCTCACTTGAGTCCCCTCTGCAGTGTCCCTGCCATGGAGTCATCCAGTCCTTGCAGCCTGCAGTATGATCAGTCACTTGTGAACACACATGTGGCTGACCACAGGCTAACTAGAGGGCCCTCCGTCACTCCTGCACCAGGCACCAACCCCACACCCCAGGAAACAGCACTGACAGGCCTCACTGCGAACTGCTAACATTGGACCATTTGTTCCCACCACATTCAGGAGCCTTGGCTGTCTCCATTCTCCTGCAAGCTGGGAGTCTCCCACCCTCTCTCCTTTCTCTTTATTGCATTCACCTCACATGATGGTTGGCTTTTGCCTGCCTCAGTCCAACTGGTTCACCCAGCTCCCCTGGCCCCACACACTCACAGGGTCCTCAAGCTGTCCAGACCCCGGAACATGCCACTCCGGATGGACTCCAGCTGGTTAGCAGTTAGGTGCAGCTCGCTCACTGAGGCTGCGCCCTCGAAGGCCCCATCTTCAATTTCTGACACCTTGTTGTTGCTCAGGTTGCTGGGGAGAGGTGTGGGGGAGGGTTAAAGACCCCAGCACCCAGGAACCAATGTCCCCACACCCAGTAGGCTCCTTCTCCATCCTAGGTACCAGTGTCCTCGCTGCAACTACCCTCCAATGGGGACTCACATTTTCTTCAGATGTGTAAGTTTTTTAAACATCCCAGTGGCCTCCAGGATGGAAATGTCATTATTGTTCAAACGTCTGCAAGAGGCAAAGAAGAGAAGTAACCATGCATGTTATGGTGGTGGTTTTGTGCCATGAAGTCGCTTCTGACGCATAGCAATGCTCTAGGATAGAATGTGACTGTCCCATAGGATTTCCTAGGCAAGGTCAGCAGTTCAAACCTACCAACTGCTCCTTGGAGACCCTATACAGGGTTGCGGAGAGTTGGAATGACTCGACAGCACTTAAAAACAGCAGTAACAATCTTACAACAGGAGATCGCCAGCAAAGTCGCTGGTGGATTTGAACTGCCAACCTTTCCGTTAGCAACCGAGCACTAGACCACTGTGCTACAAGGGCTCCTTTGCATATCTGTAACTGATAGATACTAAAGTACCTTCTGAAATGAAAACATTTAGGACTCCCAGAAGCATTTATCTGGCATGCCAAATTCATCCTATTTCCAAAGAAGACTAGTGCTAGGGGGTAAACGGGAGTATTTTGGCATTAAAATGTCATGAATGAAACGATATATGATAGGATGAATGTAAAACTAATGCTCTCCCATGTAAACTATCACATAATTCACAATAAAACATTAAAAACAACAACAACAACAAAATGTCATGAAAATACACATACATAAACGGTAGATGTGTGCAGGTATCCACGCATATATAATAGTTAAAGGGATGGTTCGAACCCAAACAAGCCAATGGAATCAAGTTCCCCCACAAGAAGGCAACAGCTTCACAAAAACCACTCCTGCCAGGCTGAGGACCCGTGCTGGGTGCTTCCGGTGGAGTGGAGGGCGGAGGGGGAAGCAGGGACCACACTGGGGGGCGTCCCACTTCCTGCCAAGCCCACCACCTTCTGGGGAGAGGACTCTGGTGGGCCCACAAAAAGGTCTGTGCCAGATAAAAACCTGGAGTGGGCTTGGGAGATTAGGTAAAGGGGGGCTCTCACAACTCGGCGGTGGACTGGGGGATGCGCTCGGGGATCTTGGTGAGCTTCAGGCCGGAGCACTCCACCACGCTGGCCTCACAGCGGCACTTATGTGGACAGACCACGTCGCTGTTGCACTCACTGTTCAGCTGGTAGTCCTCTGTGCCTGCAGGGAGGACCGAGGCCCAGGGGCTGAGGGCAGGGGCAGGCTCTAGGCAGTCGCTGGCTGGCAGCCCGACCTAGGGTCTCTGTGCCCCCTCAGTTTGCAACCCCCCCTTACCCACCCACGTCAGGCTGGCCTGGGCTCCCCCACTCTCTTACCTGGAATGAAGTACTGCTCCTTGGCTGGGGAGAGAAGCAGAGACACTATGAGGATGGGTCCACCCAGGACTCGCAGGAACAGACCAGGTTCCAGGGATGAGGCAGGGACCCCAAACCAGGGCCTCAGAGCCCATCTGCCCAGCTCTTGTATGGAGAAGGCCTTGTTATGAAGCACCAAAGTGTTTGCCAAGGCCATAGTCAATCAAACCTTCCTTAAGGAATGCCCAAACCATCGGAACTCAACCTGTGATGGAGCAAGATGGAGACTGGGCTGGCTTTACAGACAGGTGTGGGCAGCGGTGGGGTCACTCCTGCTGCCCCAAAGTCTGACCAGGGTTCCCAGGCCTTCCACGTGTCTCAGAAGGTTTGGAAGCAATGGTATGAGAGAGCACAGGTGTGAGCAGAGGATGCTGGGCCACTGTCCAGGTCCTTGCACCTGCAGTCTGTCTCCTCTCTCCTCCAGCCTCAGTGAGAAGAACAGTGGGATTGAACAACCACCCAGGTCCCAGTCTAGAACATGGAGTCTCTCGACCCTCCTGCTGTCCCAGAGCAGACTGATAACAGACAGACAGATGGACAGGAGAGTAGGCAAGTGGATAGTTACCTGAGCACCGGAACTTCTTGCTCTTGATTTGCCCAATACGTTTGTTGGCGAGGCGCCGGGGGCTGGCACAGCGGGCCCCGCTTGTCTCGATGGGGTTGGTGCGTAGAAAGTCGGCCAGCCACTTGAGGTTACAGTCGCAGATGAAAGGATTCTGGGCCAGATGTCTGTCCAAAGGGGCAGGCAGGGCTCAGAGACAGGCCACAAAAGTGCTGACCTCCACCTGGAGAGGGCCTGGCTGCTGGTTGAACCTCTGACCAGGCTTCTCTGTGCACAAAGGGAACTCGAACAGCATTGTTGGGCTCTGTTACCAGCAGGATGAGTGTGGTGGTGGTGAGGGGTGGCACTAGCCAAGGAAACCCAGGTTGCTGTGAGCGGCTTCCCCAAGGGCAGGCCCTGCCCACGCCAGCAGAGCACACACCAGCCAGGCTGCAGCTGCCCAGTTCCAGGCTAGAGATGTGCAGAGAGACAGAGCAGTGGACCCAGTTCAGAGGGACTCACAAGCCACAGTCCCTTTTCCTGCCTCTAAATGCCATCAGCTCAGGCCATCTAATTTATTGACCTCAGCCCCAGCTGTCAGTGTGTCCTTTATCCTCTGATGCCCCCAGGGCTTTACCTTCTGAAGCCCTGCATGGTCCAGACACCTCTCTCTCTCCTTTACAGCTTTCTTCCCCATGTCCTGCCTGAGGTCTGGTTCCTCTGAGACTTCTGTATCCAGCTCAACATTTGCTTCCTAATTTAAACTGTCAGTTTGCACACAGAAGGTATGTTGGCTGACTAACCAAGGTAGTTCTTAGTTCCTTTAAAATACTAGAATTTGCATCCTGCTTAGGAATCATCCCAGTGGCCTACCTATGCGTCTATGTGTGTCTCGTTGCCCCCTTCTTGGTCTGAACTAACTACTTCCTCTTCTCAGTCTGTTGATGAATCTAAGTGTTGTTTGGGCATGTACTAAAATGTTCACGGGGAGGAGGCACTGAATGCATCCTCTTAAAGAACAGGCTTTTTGGGTCATCACAACAACCTGTAACAACATGAACTACCCATAGGGAAAAGCGGACTCTGTACAAACCAAAGTATTTGATTCACATTAGAATTTTTAACAACTGTGAAGGATAAGGATAAGGAAGGAAAAATGCTCAGGTGAAAGAGAAATATCGGGGGTGGGGAGGAATGATTATGTTAAAATGACACCAAAAGTGTAATGTTTTGACAGTGTGGGAAGGAAGAGGAGCCCCATCTCCAGTGTCTTCCTGGGAGGACTCCCTGAGGAGTCACACCTACATGCTCAACATGGGAGTGTTTGCGGCTGTTGTTGTTCTCAAGGAATGGTCGGTGACTAAATATTGGAAATAGTCCACCTCTCCTTCCTAGTCTGTCTCCTGCGGGAAGCTCATCTGAAACCTGTCCACCATGGGTGACCCTGACACTATTGAACATATTAATGGCATAGCTTCTAGAATCACAGCTACATGCAAGCCACCACAGTAGGACAAACTGACAGACGAGTGGTTTGAAAACCCTATGGAGCCCAGTGCTACTCAGACACACATGCGGATGCCGATGACTCGGGAGCAGCTGATTTCGTTTGGATTTCTGCTGTTTGGTTTTACTGTCGCTACTATACCAGAAGTAGTGTTACTACTGCTAGCTTACCTATGGGAAGGCTCTGTCCTAACACTCTGCCCCTGCTTTGTGGCCACAGCTTACTCCCCTGGTGGCAGCAGACAGCTCTCAGACCCAGTGTCTAGGACATGAGCCTGGTAAATGCACACAGACAAAGGCTGCAAACACCTCACTATGCATTTGCCTTGTTCGCTCTCTTTCTACCTGGAGAGGAAAGCTCTTCACATGAGTCCCCTCAACCCCACTCCCCATCCCCAAGGCTTTCCTAGGTGTGGGTCTTCAAACCTTCTTAGCATGTTTCTTGCACGGTCCACCAGCTGCTTAAAATAATCTACCTTGAGATGCCTCCTTGGTAACCTCCAATTTAATATACTTGGGAAGATTTCCCCGTGGTGCTCCATCTTCCTCTCCCTGGCTATAAGTAAATTAATTAGCAGGAGTGGGACTGCAGGTGGCTGTGTGGGTTTAATGAGTTTGCCTTTGTGGCCAACATCCCTGCAGAGTCCCTAGGGAGCAAGGGCTAGGCCTCTGTCCTCACCTGTTCACACCTGTCCCCACATCTCATGCAGAGATTCTCTGCCGATAGTGACAAGGATGACAACAAAGGTCTTGGTGATAAACATAACACATGCTCATTAAGAACATATCATAAACTCACAGGTCAGCACGGCAAGTCCTACTGCAAACCAAGGTTACCACACAAATGCCTATATTTAACTAAATAGTAGTTAAGTAGAAACTTCCCTGTAGGAAAGTTCCACAGCTAAAAGAGAAGGACTCTTTTTCAAAGCATAACCATACATCGCTATCAAATGGCGAAGGAATCATTTGATACAGAATTGAATTAGGCCTGTTTTGGAATCCCTACACTACAGAACAAGTGAGGAAGTGCCTTCACCAAATAAACTGCAAGGAGAAAAGGAGATGGAGAAGAAAACCTAAAGAGACTTAAGAGATTCATCAACCAAAATCAACCAGATGTACTGCAGAGGCCTTAATTAAATCCTGATTCCAACAAATGACCAAAAAAAAAAGATTTAACAGGTATTTAATTACTACATTTATAGGTAGAATAGTGGTGTTGTATTTTTAACTCTTGGCTTTTAGAGATACATATGAAGTCTGTATGGGTGTGTGAGATTTGCTTTAAAATAGCCCAGGTAGGATGAAAGAGAGGGAGGCATAGATGAAGCCAGGCTGGTCATAAGCTGATAACTATTAAAGGTGGGTGATAGAAACTTAAGGGTCCACCGTACTACTTTGATTATGTTTGCATTCTTCCATGATAAAAATTGAAAACAAATCCCAACCTTGATTGTACTCTCAGAGAGTTAGAATATAATTATCAATAGTATTGTATTTCATCTAACTTACATAGTATTAATTGCAAAATGCACAGTCATTTATATACTATCAAAAATAACAAAATGTTGCCAATTAAATGTTATGTCATAGATTGCTATATGCATCCCAGTTTCATATATGTTAATGTGGAAACTGTTTCAGAATCGGTAGCTTTACTACTATTGTTGTTAACTATTACCAACGTTATCAAGCATTTTGTTGTTGTTGTTAGGTGCCATCGAGTCAGTACCGACCCATAGTGACCTTATGCACAGCAGAATGAAACACTGCCTGATCCTGGGCCAACCTCACTCCTATTGCCACGCTTGAGTCCATTGATGCTGCCACTTGGCCAATCCATCTCGTTGGGGGTCTTCCTCTTTTTCTCTGACCCTCTACCTTACCAAACATGATACCCTTCTCCAGCGACTGGTCCCTCCTGATAATATGTCTGAAGAATGAGAGACGAAGTTTGGCCATCTTGGCCTCTAAGGAGCACTCTGGCTGCACTTCTTCCAAAACGGATCTATTGGTTCTTTTGGCAGCCCATGG